TGCCATCCTCACAGACTCCCTTTTCTGGCCGTAACTGCATTTTAGCAGATGTCCAGCTCAATATTACCAGTGACTCATCCATTCTGGGCCTGAAAATCCACTATATCTACTCTGACTGCACTTTTACCTCAGCCAGAAAACCACACGGTGCAAAGGAACAGGCCAAATGCTAGGAAATGTGGGCAACTCCCATGCTGTTCACAAATGTTAATGTCCAAACCCAAGCACATTCTCCATTACAAAAACAGCGGCAAAATTCCAAATGCAAAAAGCAGTTATTGTGGTTAGGGACAACTAACAATCCTTGACGGCACTACCACTTGGAAAAATACTCTGTGTTCAGCTCCATCTGCAGCTACTGTTTTGTTACAAGATATGCTGCTCTCCCAAACAATTTTACCAAGTGATTTTTTTTAAAAATTCAACTCCAGAGCAGGATATCTAGACTGAAATGGCCGTGGTCTGATAGGAAAGGTTGGAGAGCTGATTAGAAAGTACAATATACAATAAAGATATCAACACTTGCTCCCAAACAGCTTAAAATTATTTCAAACTGTACAGAAGCAGCAATAAACAGTTCGTACTTCTGTCCTTCCAGGGGACACACTACAAAGGGCAATCTGGGCAAGCCAGCACTAAGTATATGTTCCTGGCAAAGTTCTGCCAGCTCAGGCACTCCTTTGTTCTTACGCTGCTCCTACTGACGCAGCCTCTCTGTGCAACTTTGAGAGGACGCTCCAACCCCTGGGGCGACCCACTCTTTCTCTCTTTGTTCAGAGCATTCAGTAAAAGCAGCTCCAAACCTAACTTTGGCCTTTCATGTTTCTGTTACGTATTATTTACCACTCACACTGCATTTCAGAGGCTGATGTCTTCCTGCCATCCAAAAAGCAAGCTGCAGTTTCCCAGTTACACCACAGCTGCTGACTGCCTGATCTTTCATGATTACAAAATCTAAAGAGGTATCCCAATACCTTCTGCTTTATGAAATATTTTGCACAGGGGATCTGTAGCTTTGAGATAGCTGTCAACAGAAACTCTTCCCCCCACCCCCTTATTCCTCATTGAGGCCCTATCTCAGTGCAACGGTTGGGTTTATCCTACAGTAGCCCCTTCTCATTATTCAGTAACCTTCGCCCCAGCAAAAGAATGGAAATTTGCACTAGCACTACATGCTTACCAGCTCTGCTCTGTTCTAGCACTTTGCTAAAGAGAGGGAGAAGACCATCAAGCAGCGGGGCGGGGAATCGCAGAAGTACTGCCCACCTCCAGCTCTCGCATGACCTCACCACTGGAAAGAGAGGGTATAAAGACAGCACTGTCCCTCCTCACCCCTCCTAGACCACACAGGGTAGAGCAAAGCCAGGCTAGATTGACAGCCTAGTAACAGTGGTGCATAACAATGTTGGGGCTACATATATTTGCTATCTGGTGCATACATTTTGCTATCATAGCACAGCTGAGATATGCTACGAACTTGGCATTTCCCCTGGCATTACTCCCCATTTACTACTCCAAAACCTCTGCAAATATACTACCTTCCTTCAACCTGCAAAGAGAAGAAAAACATCACCACAAATGAGTCGCTCTTCTGTTCTGTCTTTCACATTACTACTTTCACAGTCACTTCAGCAGCTGCAGTTTCAACAGCAGCTTATAAACAGGCATACTACTCTATCACACCAAAAATGCACTCTAGTCAACACGGCCATTTCCCACTCCCTGTGTACCTAAGTCAAGCCTGCCTACTTATTGATGAGAGTAAGTTTCAGCTGCAGTCAGCACTGTTTGGATGCTGTTGTTGTGGAAGTGAGCTAATATCTATATGTGTTATCAGCAGAATGGCTATCTGATATCCAGAAACTGTATTATAGTGGTGATGGACGTAGCAAAAATCGAGCACTAATTTCATTTTCAATTGCAGTATCTTCTCTGTGACCTGATAGTTCAAGAAGTCAGCACTGGACTACTACAGTGAGCAAACTCAGTATGAGAGCCACTGAAGAGGAATCTCTAGCATGTCTTTTCACACGGGCACTTTCTCTGACTATAGCTTCTCTCAAGCAGAATGAGCTAGTGAATCACTTGCTGGTCTGTCTTGGGTTAGCTCACATCTATTTAAACCAGCGTGAAGCTCTGCACCTTTGATGTGAGTTAATTAAGCTCACATGGCTTTCCCCAGCCTGGCTTCTGCAGCTTCGGAAGTGAAGGGAGCCAAATTAGGCCCATCTGTCTAAATGGAAGGGAGTCCTCTCCCACCATAAGGCACACTTCATTACCCAGCACAGGAGCTGCCTTCCAAGAGCACCAGGAAAATGGGTTTCATTGCTGCAAACGGCTACCCAGAATACCAGTCATGCCGAGCGTGGGGGTTTTCACAAGAACCACGATTTTGTGCCATCAGCTTCTTTGCACAGAAGCCTCAAGCGCCTGTCAACAAAGGGATTTCCTGCAATAACCTTTTGTTTAACACTTGGAACTTCTTGGCAGGAACAGATCTGCAAAATACTTTTTTTCCATTTGAAAATAAAGAAGGAACTAGCAAACTTCAGTGGGGCAGAGGAGATGACTCCCTCTGCCTTGATCCTGCAGTTGTACATTGTTCGTAGTCCGTGGAAGCCTCTCAGTTGCTAAATTGCAAACCCAAGAAGAAAGAAAGTAGCTTTAAGTAATCCACATCATCAGGTGCAGCTGCTAGGGAAAGGACGCAAACCACTCCCTGCTGCTAGTCAGTGCTAGGATCTGGGGAAGCAAAGGTGGAAGACAACTTCAGTTCCCAAATTCATCTTAAAGGATTTGATCTTGTAGAGGAACTGCAGAACTGTGATCAGATCCCATGCTGGCTTCACCAAGTGCTGTGCCTCAGTAGAGGTATTAACCATACTTTGGTTATGAGTTTCTGTATGTATTACACAGAAGTTACCACCACAGCAAAACCGTAGGTGACAAAAAATAGAATTCCTTCAGTAACCTGTTTTCTGCGAGACAATCTTGAAGGCATTATCTGTAAGTCTGCATGTAAAAACATACGATACTGTTGCGAAACAGAAGCTGAACACTGAAGACCTAACAAAACAGACCTAAAACCTTTTTCCTCCGCCATGATGATCTTTACAAATGTTATGAAAACTAACACAGAAGTTTACAATGGAAAAAGCACAGCAATCAGTAATGCACAGATACATACTTACCCTGAGTAGCGAAAAACATTTATTAATGTTACAGGACAATGAGGAAATTGTCCAACAAGCAAAAACACACAATGTTTTTGTGATAGGCCTCCTAAGAGGTTCCTTCTTAAACCTAACAAAAGTGAGGTATGGAGATGACCTGCATATAGATTAGTTTTGGCTAAAGTGGGACTCCCCAGGGAGTCTACACAACTGAATGGGTAAAACACTGGCTAGCTGGGCTTTAAGAGTAGTGTTTACTGTGCTGTACTTGGAGTCCAGTTACAAGCTGAATAGTGCAGTGACCTATCCTGTTAGATACCTGAGGAGGAAATAGAGGGCCCCTGCTTGAGAGATGACCTGCATATAGATTAGTTTTGGCTAAAGTGGGACTCCCCAGGGAGTCTACACAACTGAATGGGTAAAACACTGGCTAGCTGGGCTTTAAGAGTAGTGTTTACTGTGCTGTACTTGGAGTCCAGTTACAAGCTGAATAGTGCAGTGACCTATCCTGTTAGATACCTGAGGAGGAAATAGAGGGCCCCTGCTTGAGGCCAAGCCTGCCACTCAGAGTGGCCTGGCAGGAACCTCATGAAATTCAGCTTGGACACATGCAAAGTCCTGCTCCTGAGGAGGAGCAAGCCTATGCACCAGCACAGGCTGGGGGCTGACTAGCTGGGCAGCCTGCTCCGCATAAAAGCCCTGGCTGGTGGTGGACTTAGCAAGAGCCAACAGCATCCCACACTGTCAACAGCAGTGTACCCAGCAGATCGAGGGAAGCAAATTCTGCCCCTTTCCCTGGCACCCGTCGGGCCACTCTTGGTTCTCTGGCTCTGCAGTCCCACGTGCTAGGCAGGCATTGATAAACTTGAGTCTCAAGTCCAGTGGAGGGACACCAAGGTGCTCAAGGACTTGAGCCCTTGCCCTGCAAGAAAACCTGGGAGATTCAGCTTGGAGAAAAGACAGCTTCGAGGAGACCTACTGACAGCCTGCTGGTACATATGGGGAAGTTATCAAAAAGATGGAGCTTGGTTCTTCACAGAGCTGCATGGCAGGAGAATGAAAGACAATAGGTATAAATTGCCACTGGGGGTCTCTCATAGAATATCCGGAAAAAAGAAAAGTTCACTCTGAAGACAGTGAAGCAGTACAACAGGTTGCTCAGAGAGGCTGCAAAGCCTCCATCCTTGAGGTCTTCGAAGTCAATGAGATAAAGCCCTGAGAAATCTGGTTTGAATTCAATGTTGACACTGCTTTGAGCCAAAGGTTGAATTAGAGGTTCTCAGGAGGTCCCTTCCAGCCTGAAGGACTCAGTGATTCAATGTCCCCCACTACAGGTTATGTAACCCATAATAATGGAAAAAGGTTCACAAAATCAAAGATTGCTTACATTTGGGAGCCTGAATGCAGTATTTGCACCTTGGAGTCCTGAGAAGTAGTACTCCAACAGTTTGAAAAGCACAACTAAAAAACAGCACAGTTTCGTTGTGCTGACACTGGGAGCACCTTGGAGAAAGGAAACGATACTTTCATCAGACACTATCTTGCCTCCAAGAGTTGAGGTTTGCAAGCAAATGTGCTCAAGCTAAAACTACTCCAATTAAAGGAGAACTAAGAAATGCAGACTCCAAGTCTTAATGAATCATAACAAATACCTAGAAAAAAAATAATCCTGCTCATTTCCAAGTGTTTAATTGAGTTGGCCGAAACGTTTGTGCGCGTGAACGCAATCGCATGCAGTTATTTCCCTGGGTAGAACTCTTCAAGCCAAAATATTGATTCTTCATCTGGGGCATCATTGGTTAATAAAGTCATAACTTCTCCACATACCATTTCAAGGTCTTGGGAAACCCTCCGTTTGCGCAGCTCTTCCATCCTCTCGCACACATCTGTGAAGCAGGTGTTATAGTAGTCTGCATACTGCTGTGCCAGGTCATCAATATTTCCCAGTGATCCATCCTATGGTGGAAGCAAAGAAAAAGAGGTTAATCCATTTTAGAATTCCAATTTAAAGATAACACCACAACTCGAAAGGAGACCCCCTCCCTGCAGCACATCCAGCTCTTGGATTGTTGTGTCAATCCGTAGCCCTGAGCATGCTAGCACACAAGAACAGTACCACAGAAGCTCCTCAGAAACAGGTGGGACCTTGTGAATTCCTACACTGAAAGAAAAGGCAGGTATGGAACAACATATCCCCAGGAACTTATCTGCCTCAGTTCCCTCCCACTCCTATATATTCATATTCCATCTGGTTCTCCCAAGCAGCTGCCCACTCATCCAACAACCAGTCATTACGTACGTTTCACTGACCTTATTTTCGTGGGAGTAGCCCTGCTTTCCTTGACAATGACTAACAGCAATTTAAAACATTAAACTTCTTGCTTATAAGCACAATCAGCCAGACTGCAATCAATTCCAGCCAAATTACTTTAACAGGCAAGTTTATGCCACACACAAAGACACTGCCAGTTGGTCTTTTAAGATATACTGGAGGCAGAAACATGGTTTGCTCAGTCCCAAACGTCTGCTTTGCTAGGCAGGATTGCTACCCTGTTAATAAAATGGCTATAGTCAGGAATCTAATTGTAATCATCTGTCAATTACAGTCAAAATTCATACGTTTAAAATGATGGTTAAGAAGGAAAAAAGCCAAAGCAAACAAGAAACAGGCTGCATTTTAAGTGGCACAAGAAATCCATCTAAACTTCCCATACGTATTCCTTAGAGGGCCAGGCAAGGGGGTAGGCAGGACGAATTAACAATTTTTTTGGTACCATATGCACACACTTAAAATAGGTCAGAGTAAGTTTGTTTCCCTATTTGTCTAGTTTATTAAAGAGTATATAAGTTACTGTATACATTCTTTAAAAGGTAACAACCTACACTTTGTGCATATTCTGACATAAGAACGGGAATACACTGCAGAGTGTTATTTCATTGTTGCTGTTAATAGGTGAAACACATAAATATAAAAATGTATCTTGAATATTCAAGAAAAAACTAAGCAATTGAGAAATCATTTCAAAATAATTATGCTAATAATATACATAAGTTGCAATGCAGAGTTTTAGCATACGAGCCAGGAGAAAATCTTTTAATTAGAAACCACACCTTACTGAAGCTGTTGCCATTTGGAAGTACATGGTCCTGCTCTCAGGGTTCTTCATTATGCTGAAGAGGCAGATCTGTTCTAATGAAGTATCACTTCCAGAGAATTGGAAAAAACATTCCAAGTTTAAATCACAGTGAAAACCTATTAAACCTCAGACTCTGTGAAACACCCTCTCTACTTTTTTAAAGTGTAATTCCACAGGCACAACAGGTATCTCAAACTCCCCAGGAAGTTTTGTAGAGCTCATGTTCCCAATTCAGAACAGCTTGCAGTTTCTTAAAACTACTGCAAGGTGGAAATTAACTTGCATGTCACTTGTCAGAACAGCAGAAGCAAAATAACTACATTAAATATACACGTATACACACACCATCCTCTATACACACCTATGTATTTTCTACTGTATTTCATCTCTCTCAACCTGCCAAAGATCTCAAACAGGAGATGTTTCAGACGTCAAAAGATTGGGTTCCTTAGAGCATATACACTTCTGGGAACTTCAGACTTTCCAGAGGTTGGGACAAACAACTTTGCACACCACTAAGCAAGTGTACAGCTTATGAGGACAAACCAACAGCATCTTTGAGAGTCATGGTACTACCCTGCCTTTCTAGCGGAGCAGCAATGCTACTGGCTCAGCAGTCAGAGAGCATATGTCTTCCTTCCACCACCTCCTTGCCATCCATCACTTCCCAACAAGCTGGGGAAAAAACTTTGACTCTCCGCCTGTGCTACAAGCTCCACACGTCTGCCTGTGCAACTGTACACTCCTCCGGTGGCTGAGGGTGTGTTTGCTGATCCCACATGCACAACGAGCTGCTTTCACATGGTTTGTAGGCTCAGTAGGGATAACTAGTGCTGCAGTGCTGGGGAGAAAAATGAACATCAAACAGAAAAAGCAACCCCAAAACATAACCTTCATTTGCTCGCTGTTGCAGGCAATAAGAAAACTTGTACGGCTCCCAAAGAGATGACGTGACATCTGAATCCCAGCCACTCCATCATAACAAACATCCCTCTCTAAGGGTTACCAAAAATTCCCACTTTGGAGCATCTTCCCCAGCCAGAGTCTTTTTGCTCCTTGATAATCTTTGCCAGTTAGGAGTACAGGAGCTGGAAACAGTAATGATAGAAGAGCAAGATGAGAAACCGTAATTTTATTAGAACAATATGAAATGTGCCTATTTACTTCATCAGTCCACCTCCTCTCTCAATTCTGGAAACTGTTAAATTTCATATAGAAAACCAGCTTGGAAATAGGAGTAGCTTGTGAAGGTAAAGCCATGACTCTGAAAGTGCACGATATACTCCAAATCCAAACATATCCTGGGAACTTCAGCTCAGCTGAGATGAGGATCGCAGCACGCTCCAGCACTCCTCCGCGCACCTTCCCACACCTCCTCCTCAGGTCCACGGTCACGGACCACTCGCAGGACAGCAATAGCAATGCACAACAGATCAAAGCTGAAGAAGTGCTCATTTTTCACTTATGCTGGTGTGCAGTTCACTGTGCTTTTCTTAAAGGTGGTCTCTACAAGGCTGAAAGCTTGTGACTGTCCCTAGAGCAAAATTAGCTCGATTGCAGCACCCTAATTAAAGCCCGCAGAAGGCGGGTGGCCCCACCGCCAGCGAGCACGTGGCTACAAAGAAAGGCCTATTCACAAGTGACCCAGTCCGCCAGTGCCGCAACGTCCAGAGAAGCTGAGCTGCAGGCACCAGCCTGCCTGACTGACAGAAGGGATTGTTGTCCATGCTTGGGACTCACATTAGGGGCTAGGCTCCAAATACAGCTCACGCCCGCTCTCCGAGGAAGACCAGACCTGCGTGAAAGCAAGTTTAGCGTCCAGAGAAAAAAAGATGAAGGAACAGAAGAAACACAAGATCTTAGAGATGAGAGTTCATAACTGAAACATAAAATCATTGCAACGCTGCCACACACTTTTGCTGGGTTACCACACCGAGGGCGGCTAGCTTTATGAGTCAGCCACTCCACAAAAGCAGCACACAACCTCCTAACTAGATAAGGACAGCTTTGGGGTTTGAAGTCCCTAGCTTCGAGAAACGAAAAAAAAAACCCAAACATTTGCATTAACATCTCAGCCTGCATGGAAGTCATGGTGGAAGATGCTGATTGAATCATTGGTCTCCGTGGCAAAGAGCTTCTTTTGTGAGTTTATGCGTATGGGTATCCAGAAAACATTGCGTTTGTTCAAAAGAAACAAAGATGCGCAAATCAACCCAAGCCAAAGACAGGAAGTATTTCACACCCTGCAGCACCCACTCACGTTACATGTAAGGAAATAACATCATAATTTAACAAAGGATTGTATATCTGATTTGTGTTACCTCAAATTTTATCCCTACATATAGTTATCTCCATCGTACTTTATTCTTTAAGTACTATTAAAAACATGGCAAAACTAAAAAACTGAGAAGATGCTTCATTTTTCTACTGCACTGATAACAGCCGAGAGGACCTACTTTAGATATGATCACAACAAATGAGAAGATGAATTTTGAACTACGGCATTTTATCTATTAATTAAATCAACCCCCCAGTTTTGCTGAACAGTTCTAAACTGCCTCACACAAAAATCATCACCAGTGTGCTCTGTATTTCTATTTTGTTTTCAAGTTAACTGAGTATTTAAAAAATATTCATATGCACAACATTAGCTCCAGCTTCAAAGTCATTCATTCCTTTACAAAGAGTCAGAGGAATTATCCAAAATGTTTTAAAAAAACCCCTAGCATTAGTAATAAAATAGAACAAGAAAATAATTCATAACTAACAGTATTTATAAAATATTTCACTCCAATGCATAAAGAGCAAGAGCCAATGATAATTTTCCTAAGTTCCTTTTACCTCCTTGCTTTCATATGCAAGCCAAAACCTAGAGGATTTTTAAGATAATAGAAATAAAAGTCTAAACCCATCAGTTTGTTCATTCCTCAATAGTAGCCCTACATGGTGGACTTTATTCCAATACTAATACAACAGGGTCTAAACAAACTTGGACTGCCATTTTGCTTCAACAGGTAGGAAAAAAGCATACAGCTATTTGTTACCAAAAATAATAAGCCAATGTAATTTAGAATAAGCCTTCAGTTACGTGACACTACGTCCCATTTTGATGTAGACGGGTCCGATATTTGAAACAGCTTATGTAAGTAATGAAAAAAAGACACAGCTTTCAAATTTATTTCTATCTGTAATTCAGTAGCCACTGATGTGGTCTTAACTGCTTTAGGTCAGTAATATTTTTAAAACCAAGACCTTGTAACAAACTCTCTCAATTTTGTAACAATTTTAACAGTTAAGCAAAGCCCTACCGTGAAGAATGCTTTGCACCAGTTGGGTTTATTGCCATACAAACTTCAATGTTCCAGTTATATAATCCCACAGATCTTTTCTGGCGGAAAAAAATTTGTAAGCAACACAAATATTGAGCAGAAATACCATTCCTGAAATGCTTTAATTTATTCGTAAAGAGTTACAACATGTTTCTCCTAAGACTTCACTACTGCCCGAGACCTTTCCATAAAATAGTCTGATAGCCAGGAAAGTAAACAACCCACTAGTTTTAAAAGGGTTAAATGTAAAATGAAGATTTAATAAAATATTCTAATGAAAACAGAAGTTATCTCAGATTTCTATTTTTGGTCATCAAATACGTTCCCAAATTTCCATCTTATAATGTATGCATGCAACATCTTTTGGCATCATAAAACACAGAATAAATGATGAATTACCCTGGAATTCCCAGAGAATTAGTTCTGATATGCATGTGAATACCAAAGGAATCCATCGGGATTCCTGTTAATGGAGTGACTACAAAGAAAA